GGGGACGCGAACCGCGGTCGACTATGTGGGAGTTCAGCGACATAGCCATTACGCTAACTGCTGGTCCCTGTTTGTTTGTTTTTTTTTTTTGAGAGGTGTTTGCTATAGGGCGCGTGTGCTCACCAGACAGACAGAGAGAGACAGAGAGACAGAAAGCGAGAAATCACCCCCCAGCGGGGATGACCATGCTGCAATCCCTTCTCCTCCATTCTCCTCTTGGGATCTTGGGCACGCACGCACACACGCCCGGTGTGAGTTTTAAGCCACTGGGTCTGGGACCCAAACTGGAGTCAACTATGCGAGAGTCCAGCAACGTAATCATTACTCTATCTGCTGGCCCCAAGGTTCTTATATTATACATGAAGTGGCATAATACCACTTGAAGGTGGACTGTGGTCAGCTGAGTATGGATACCATAAATGCTAGAACAACCACTAAAATAATATAAAATTGTTATAGCTAATCAGGAAACGAAGGAGAGAAAAAATGGAAACATAAAAAAAAGATCAAGTTGATCCCAAAGAAGGTATAAAAGTAGGTAAAAGAAACAAACAAATGGGACAAATAACAATGACAATGTACATGGTCTAAGTAGCCCAATTAAAAGGCCGAGATTGTCAGATTAAAGAAGAAAGCAAGAGCCAGGACTGGCCCCATGGCCTGGTGGTTAATAACACAAACAGGAGAGAAAAATGAGAAGTCCTGCAAGGGAACTGGATCCACGTGGATGATTGCCAGCCCCAGTTCAAGTGGCTTGAGAAACATGCTGAGCATATGTGTGTGCATGCCTAAAAGCCTGAAAGGAGACATGGAGGAGAAGGAAATTAGAAAGTCTTTTGAGCTGACTGAAAATGAAAGCACGAAATGTCAAAACGTGTGTGATGCCATTAAAGTAGCATGTTGAGGGAAATTTGGGGCTTTTTGTTCTTTGCCTTTTGTTTTCCTAGAGGGCAGGTAGGGTCACCAAAGTGGGGGTAAGAGAGAGAGAAAGAAAACACCCCCCAATGGGGTACAGTCACATTGCAGCATTTTCCCTCTATTTCTCCCTTCCTTCAGGGCGTAAAGGCATACACGCCTGGCATGTTTTTCAAGGTTCTGGGGCCAGGATTTGAGCCCAGGTGGCCATTGGGGATACAGGCACAGAGCTAAACCACTACCCCCTGGGGAAGTTTATAGAACTAAATGTCTACGTTAGAAAGTAAGAAAAGTCTTAAATCAATGACCTCAGATTTTATCTTAAGAAAGTATAAAAAGGGAACCAGCATTTAGTGTAATGGCTATGTCGCTGGACTCCCATGTAGTCAACCGTGGTTCGAGGTTCGGACCCGGTGGCTTAAACTCATGCCAGGCGTGTGTGCGTACATACCCAAGATCCCGAGAGGAGAATGGAGGAGAAGGGATTGCGGTGTGGCCATCCCCCCTGGGGGGTGATTTCTCGCTTTCTGTCTCTCTGTCTCTCTCTGTCTTTCTGGTGAATGCACACGCCCTATAGCAAAATCCTCTCCAAAAAAAAAGAAAAAAAAGCAAGTACAAAAGGAAGAGTAAATTAAACCCAAATTAAGTAAAAGAAAGAAAATAAAGATCAAAGCAGATATCAATTTGATACAAGACAGAAAAGCAATAAAGTCAATGAAACAAAAGCTAGTTTCATAAAACAAAACAAACAAACAAAAAAACTGGTCAACTCCTAGCCAGACTGCTCAGAAAGAGAGAGAAAGAGCACAGATTAGCAATATCAGGAATGAGGGCAATAAAACCACTACACATTTTACAAATAAAAAGATAATAAGGGTGTTCCAGGAGGTGGTATGTTGGTTAAGGCACTGGATCCCACATGGCCAACTCTGTGGTTCAAGTCCCAGACCTGTTGGCTTGAAAAACATGCAGGGTGCATGTGCACGAGTGCCCAAAATCTCTAGAGGAGAATGGAGGAGAAGGGATTGTGGTGTGGCCATCCCCCCTGGGGGATTATTTCTCATTTTCTGTCTCTTTCCAGTGAACGCATGCGCCGTATGGCAAAAATCTAAAATAAATAAATAAATGGGAAAAAGGGAACATTATCAGTAACTTTATGGCAGTAAACTTTACAACTTAGATGAAATGGATAAATTCCTTGAAAGACAGAAACTCAAGCTTACTTAAGGAGAAATAGGTGCCCTGGGGCCAGCGGATGGTGTAGCAATTACGTCACTGGACTCCCACGTGGCCAACCACGGTTTGAGTCCCAGACCTGGTGAAATTCATGCCAAGCATGTGTGTATGCATGCCGAAGACCTGGGAGGAGAATGGAGGAGAAGGGATTGGATGGAGCCATCC